AGATAATCCATCCACCTCACAGGTGTGGCATATCAAGATGCTGATCAGACAGCATGGGTATTGCACAGGTGTGCCTTAGGCTGGCCACAATAAAAGGCCTTAGGCTGGCTACAATAAAAGACCACTCGAAAATGTGCCTCTCGAAAATGGAACCACATCCCAATTTGGGATCGGGAATCAAACAAAATCACCACTTTTAAGGCTAGACTTAAAGCTTAGACTTTTCTGTTTGACAAAGCCTTTAGTTAGGGCAGGATTGAGCAAACTTTAAATTATTAAATGTTTTTTATCATTTTATTTTGCTGATTTTATTCTGATTGTATCTTATCTTGTGATTTATTACATGCATTCTGTATTTTATGGTTTATTTCATTTAATTTCAATGCATTTTGTGCAAGTGTATTGGGACCACGTCTTTTGGTGATTTTGCACTTTAAATACAACTTGACCTGACTTGACTTGACTGACACATGTTTTCCCCTCTGGGCTTACTGAAACTGTGTGCGCTTGATGTGTAGAACATTCGATACTACAAACTTGTATACTAAACTTGGCTGCTGCCGGCTCGCATTCATATTCGCTGGCCTCGACACACCCTTACATGCCGAACTACAACTTGTATGCTGAAAAATTCAGAAAAGACTGCTTTGGGGCTTCAGCGCTCACCAGTTTATCATGTTAGTGTGAAAACTCTAAATACTTTACGCATTACGTGGTCCCAACCCAAGGCAGCGTAACACTTGAACCTCCCAGCACTACTCAACATTACATAAATAAATGCACACGGGCAGCCAGTGATCCTTCACTGTGTTAGGTGAAAAAGAACGACATGATGCTCAGAAAATAAGGGCCAGAAAAGGACAATTCACAACAACAATGGATGTGAAGTGTTGCACAGTACAGTGCGTGCCTTAGTATATGATTATGAACAGCTCAGTGATGTAGCTGCCCTGACTGGCAGAGTCTCTGTAAAGCTTAGGACCAGACTGCAGAGGCGGGGCAGAGAAGGGCAGAGTGGGCGTCATGAGTCTCTTCTATTACAGCGTACAGTGGAGAGGCCAATAACTCTGCCAGAGAGCTCCACTTGTATTATAAAATGTTTTGCACTTAAAGTCAAAAGTACAAGTACTGCCACTGTGAGCTAAAATTGGTGTTTTTACTTGAGTCATGGATTATATGGGAGGCCAGAAAAGCCACGGCGACAAGAGCTGACTGCCTGTTTATAATAGGATGCATTTTCTCACAGTCAGAGAGTGTACGGTGGCCAGCAGGTACAAAGTTTCTGTACAAAGACTGTTTAATTTAGATTGGGATGTTTGAAGAGTTTTGTCTGTTGAATAACATAACACAGTTACCTGTTTGCATTACAACATGCTCTTGTCCAGATGAGACTAATGAGCAGGAAAGCTTTTTTTTTTGGACATTTTCATCAACAACCCGATTGGCGCTCAACTCCTGTTCCGTCTAAACCTGCTGGTGGCTCCGCAGGAGCAACTGCGGGGTATAAAAGCAGAGCTCATAGGAAGAAAAACAGCTGGTACAAAAGCCAGAGAGGGTGAATTTCTTTCACTCTCCATACTCTGAGTTTCCTTGCCGAGCGAGAGAATCAAATTGTTGACCTTTGAAACACAAGATGCTGCATCTCTGTGCCTTCAGGCTGCCACAGTAGAGTGAATGTTAAAAGAAGCTAGAGACAGTACCTGTTGTAAATACTGTAGATACTCAGAAAATACACAGCAAACCTTTTCTGTTTACACGGCACTGGTACAGACACAAGAGCTGAAAAAAGCAAACAAAAGGAACCAACTGAACTACTCTCATTTTTCCGTCTTAATTACTAAAAATGTAAAGCCTTTCCTGTTTTAATAAATGAGTCTGAAAGTCTGAGTCACAGAAGATAAATGAAACTTAATCATAGATTAGCCATAAACCACGTAAGAAACAAACAAACTGCTGGAAACAAACAACAGCACAAAGAACCTGTTTACAGCTCCTTGTTAATTAGCCGATTGTATTAATATTGGGTTTTATTAAGATGTAAAGGCCAACAAATCGAATAATGAACTAAATAACTTGTACTGAAGAAATCAAGTCAAGTTGCCCTTGATTTTAACCTTCCTTGGATAACGATGACCTGGATGAGTGAGAGCCTACACAGACTTAATTTGTAATTGCCTTCCAAAGCAACACATAAAAGGGTTTTCTGATTTGATGACGCCCATCGACAGGATGACGTTATTTCAAAATCATTTTGAGCATTCGGAGTCAGAGATATTAATCATCTTTAACAGCTACAATTTCAGAGACTGTCCTCATGCTGTTGAAGTTGATTATGATGAGGGGAAGGTTGTGATTTGGGTTAAAATAACTATTTTGTTAAAGTAAGTAGGGCTCCGTCATCGTGGTTGAAGTAACTGCATGTAAAAGAAAACAATGTTGAATTTCATTAGTCTTTATTATGGGTCATTATGAGTTAATGGCTGCTAGAGGGATTTGTTACTTAAATCCATACATATAGTTTTATGGCATTTAAGGAAATGATAGCCACTGGCTTTTTTCCTGTGAGGACAGACTGAAATTGTAGCTGTCAAAAATGACTAAAATCTCTGACTCTGAGTTACAACTCTGCTGCTTTACGGTATTTACGATGTGACAAACAGATCAAAAAATTTGAAGATCGTGGAAAGGTTCATCAGAATGAACGCTTAGGAAGCCTTTGCAGATGTTTTGCATTAATTAGCTGATCTCTAGAGCTCTTCTCAAATCGACATTTCTGTACTATAAATTCTTTATTCTAAAATTCTAATAGATTTTGAGATACTGGAGTTTAGATTTCCATGAGCTATAAACCGTATTCATCAATAGAAATCTTGCAATCACTGAAATATTTCACTTTATGTGTAATGAATCTAGAATATATATGAAAGTTTCTGTAAAACCTCCTCTTAACTGAAGTGCAGGGGAGGTCGTCTTGCTTAGCCTGCTGACACCAGGCTGCCTGGTCCTAACATTCTGCTGTCAGTGCAACATCCAGCCATGGGAAAACGATTAGGTCACCCCCGCGGCTCACTTTGAAATGATCCATTTGGATGCTTGGCACTTGACCATGTGTTCTCTCCGATTGAAGGCTAGAAAATGGTCACTTGAGTGCCTTTGGTTTTTGGTCGAAATGAGAATTGAGGCCGCGGACATATTTCAAACTGTCATTTGTCAGCCCTCCAAATGCTTCGTAATAACACTCAATTATACATTCTGAATGACGTTGCTAGGTTACAGAGCTGGCAAAGTGGCTGATGGGACCATCCAGTGGTCACTCGGTATCGTGGGCTGATAGAGGGTCCACACTCGGCCACTTGGCAGCTCAAGCCTGAAACATGCTCTGAAATCCACATCTGGTGATTAGGATGTGCAAATCAAGTCAACAAGCTGCTGCACAGGAGGATTCAGGTTTGGAGACAGACGTCAGGGAAGTTTCACTGCACATTATCCTCTCAAAAATGTATAATATATGTATTTTATAGCAGCAACTTATTTCTTGCTTCCTCCTTTGCACATTTGCACATTTTTGGTAAGATATCCTTGTATTTGTTTATTATGGCATACTTTACTTCTTTCTCCATTATAGAATTGTTGCTTTACATTAATCTTAACATTCTGCCTTGCTTTAATGATACACTTTTATATTTTTGCTACTGCATCTTTTACTTCCCATTTCGTAGACAGGCTCATCTATCGGTTCTTTTTTCCATGTTTTTTTCTACTGCTTTTTGCTGCTGAACCAAAAAAGGTTAGCTCCATGGTAAAACCAGAATACAATATTAAAGAGATCGCGAAAACCTGAAAAGAAATGTTGTTCCAACAACTAGTATTATTCATCATTATCATCATCAAAAGAGCATAACACCACTGCAGGATGATTCAGGATTTTCATTAATTGTTGTTTATTCTAGGGTGGACTTTTCCTTCCACCTGTGCACCTTTGTGAGCAGATATTTTTTTCAGCTTACTCATCTTTTGTTGCTGCTCCCTTCCAAAACATCTGAAACAGTCTGAAAAACCCTGAAACAGTCTCCTCTGTGAGGAAGACCTTGTTGATAACTACCCGCACAGGGATGACATGTGTTTGGAGTCACTTCCTTGTCTAGTTTTTACCTTGTAAGAATCTTATTTCTCCTACATTGTAAGTACAAACACAAACATGTAAATACATAAACATAATCAACTGGCCCAGAGGACAAATAAACAGATTCACACACAAACAACAACAAACTCGTCTGCCAGTCAAATTACCAAACTAAACACACACACATCGGAAATATCATGTTGTTAGAAACTCAGTCAGCTAACACTAAACATCCCCTTTGCTGCTACACTGGGTCTGTCAAGCCACCTGAGACTATAATCAGACAGCTGCCTGCATGGAGCCTGATATACTAAGGAAAACAAAGACGTTGAAAACATGTAGATCAGTTTAACCTCCTAAACTGCATTGTTGCTGCACAGCCAAAACATCATTCAAAGCCACAGAGAGTTTAAATTCTACTGTAGTTTGATGTTACACTACTGAGTTAATGGGAAAAGTAACCTTTTGACAATATGTCATGATGACTATGTTTCGGGGCGGCTGTGGCTCAGGAATTCGAGCGGGTCACCGACTTTTTCAGCAACTCCATTATGTATCCTGAGCTATCATCAGTATGTTCTGATAAAATTCAGAGCACAGCAATGAGGAAATGTCTTTGTTTCTCCATAGCTTACTCACGATCCAGTGCTGGTTTCCGTTTACTGCATCTGTCAGGACCGTTCTTTGTGTTTGCTTACTCTGGAGCATCCGGACTGGAAGCCTGTTGTCTTGTATTTGGTCTAAAACTGTGTAATACTAGTAATCCTGTCTGAACACTTTCAGACAGAATTTAGGAGAAACTCTTCTTATCAAAGGAACCAAGTTACTTCCAGCACAATATCTTACCCTTAGCAGCCTCACGCACACACTCTCTTACCTATATATGAGTATATCGTCTGTAGAGCTGTTGTACTGGATCTGGTACATGCGGACTCCTGGTATGTGGTTCTGCGGAGGCCATCTGATGGTAGCAGAACTGGACGTTAGATCCGACACACTGACCCTCTGCTGGTCGGACCGGGCATGACCGCCGCTCACGTTGGACTTGATAGATGTGGGGATGTCCGAAGGCCCCGGGTTGGGGTCCAGTTTAGGGTCAAAATGTGGTGAAGGGTTGACGACTAACTCAACAGGGGCGGTGGCCTCCCCAGCTGCATTAGATGCTATACACGTGAACTTTCCAGAATCCTAGAAATCACCGGTAAAAAAAAAGGGAAGGTCCAACATTTATGCTTTAATGTGAGTAACTCCCTATGAAATCAGTTGTAATGAACACATGGAAAAGGCATGACAGACCAAGAGATCCAGAACCACATCCCATGAAAATAAAACCACATCTCTACCTTGACTGAAGCCTTCAGGATGTCCAGCGAGCCGTTCTCGTAGCAGATGGTTCTGGACGTGTTGCTGATCAGCTTTCCATCAGGACTGACCCAATGTGTCGAAGGTTCAGGGTCGCCAATGGACTTACAGCGCAGGCTGACCTCCTGACCCTCCATCACAAACATCTTGGAGGTGTGACGAGTTATCATTGGTGGCTCACAAACAAACTCCTCCTGTAAAGGGACCAAAACATACAAGTCACCATACTTTAACTGATACAAAAGAACACATCGTCACTGGTACAGAAAAGTACAGTACTAACAAAAGCAGAGATGTTGATAATTTCATTGCTGAAACAGTTTTTACATATTTTGCTTTACACAAAAAACACAAGAAAAAGAAGCAACAGATGGTGGTACAAGTGAGATAAAATGTCCAAGAGTTTCGGGGAAAACATGCCACTTCAAAAGAGACAAATTCCAGATTTGCACGTCACATTTTAATGCAAAACAGTAAACTTTCTCTGCATACAGTCTCTGACTAGCTTCCAGTGGTGTTTTCTTCAAACAATAGACTTTCAGAAGGAGTTCAATTGTTTGCACACTGAGATTAAGCGATCCCAAAATTTAAAACCCACCCACTGGCACCTAAGCCAGTATAAAGCTGGCCAAAACCCTGGAGGAGTATTACTGCTAGGCCAAGCAGGGCTAGCCAAGGCTTACGAGGGCTTACTCATCATTCCTACCACTCAGTGTGCCTGCAAACCTTTTTCTGGGTCATTCTTTGGTCTTTTACCAGCAGAGAAGATTGCTGACCTGCTGACTGTTAGATTCAAATGAAGCACTAGTGAAAAACCAGTTTGTGTTACATTCTAACCCTCAATGGCTCCTCTGAAGCTCTGAAGGCTGTGATTGAACTGCGGTGTTCCTCAGTGTGAGTGTTAGGAAGTGTGAAAGTATGAGAATGTGAAGTTGGGAAATTGTACGAATACTCATTTGGTCTTAATAAATTTATATATGTTTGTCCAGATACCCCTCGGAGTCCAACGGGCTTCATCTTTTCCTCCCATTTCATGAAAATGTAACCTCTTGGACTTAAGCTTTCCAACGGACAAGAAAAAGTGCAGATGCAATAAGAAGCCGAGCAGCTTTCATCGATTTCAAAGCAGGGACTCCTTTGGCGGCTGATGTCTGACCCCTGATGGTTGCAGCAGAAGCTCACTTGTCCTTGCTATGGGAAAGAGGCTATTAGCTCTCTGAGAGTTAATATTCCCAGACACTTTGGTGACACGCAGGTCTCTGGATCGACCTCTTTACAAGGATAATCCTCTTATAGTGATCCTACAGCACCTCTCTTAAGGAGGTCCACGACTATTGCTCGAGGTGAGGCAAAGGTCTGTACATCATCCTCTCTAAGATGATTCCAATTAATCCCATTTTTATCTCATGGTGCTTACAAAGCTACACTTATCATTGTAGCTTTCATAAAGCCCAGAGGGGTCGGCTCCTGAAGAGCTCCAGGTGAGGCAAAAGCCTCTTTAAGGTAACATCTTGAACCACACCACTTAATTCAGCTGTTATCCCTCCAAGTATCAGCATAGTTCTTCTATCAAATAGAAGTATTTTCCTAGCACGTGAACAGATATCTCAGCAGCTCCTCGACCTTTAGTCCCACACCATCTCACTGCTATATGCAGCAATGACACATCCGTAGTGGTTTTGCTCTGAGCTCTCTGATTTGCTCTATAATGCCTGTTGTGGCAATTGGTTTTTATTATATAGCAATAATGAATCATCAATGTATCGACAAAATTATCCACATGTGGTGTCATCCACAACAAAGCAGAAGTGCAGCAGGGTGGCTGTCTCTTCGGGTAGCAGACACTGTAGATTTGTTATGCTCATAATAATGGCATTGCTTCATATTGTCTGGTACCGTCTTCCCTTCCAGTCCCAGGACAAAATGGCATTTGTGGCCTACTTCTATTTATGTGCCTCTTAAAGTATCTTATTAGCTAATATATGGATGTTTTGTACATTTTATTTTCTGGAGGTGTCAAATATGACAGCTTATTACAGACAAAAAACACAACTTACAGGTGAAATCTGTGATGATTTTAGTGTAAATGGCAGCAACTATGAGCTTACAACAGAATCATTAACAATAAATAAATATAAATATATATAAATACTGTGAAGGTTGTTAAAGTGCAACAAATATTACTCAAAGAAACTTGTACTTTTTACTTTTACTCAACCATGACACTAGTCCTCTGACTTATTAGGGGTCAGTGAACACCTAGAATGGAAATGGTTTACTAAAGCATCATAACTAATAAATAACCAAACTTTTAAATGAACTCTTGGCAGCTTCTTCCCCCATTAAGGAGAATCAGAAACAATCAAACTTTGATGCGCACATGTCGCTTGGATTGCCATACATCCAGTGTTGACAGTGCAATAGATCGGGCCAAGTGGTTGCCTCTCGAGGTCAGTGTGACACGGGACTTTTGGAGTTAACTTTTTTTTTATTTCTCTGCATGCTCCTATTTTGTTAAACCTTCTCATGTACTAATCTATGTTGCCTTTTGTAACATGTCCCAGTGGATTAGAAAAATAGCTCTACTGCAGTGATGTTTATTAATGTGCACTGTCGCTGTTAAATAGACCAAAAAATAAATAGAGCTATGTGCATATGGGTAAAGAACAAACGTGGGACCACATCTGTTTTATTTTTGCCTCTTATGACTTAATTTTACACAATTAGCTTAAACTAGATCCTGGTTATTTGCTGTGACATAACCCCGAGCCTTTTATACCCCCTCATTGTACTTAACAATATTATATAAGCAAGAAATACATAATTAAATGTCATGGTTCTGATACATTTTTGCATATAAAACTCCATAACTCCACACTCTCACCAGAAGGTTCACTCCTCTGTGACACCAACCATCTGCTCAAGTGTCCTTGAGAAAGAAAGTGATCATGCATTCAATGAGGCCTAAAGTTAAGAGAGCGAAAAAACATAATTTGCTACAGGGTTTAGTGGATTTTGACACCAAAGACACAGAATGCAACTTCTATGACCAACACAGATTTGTATTAGCCAGCTAATGCTGACTTTGGGCTCCTGTTATCATGAAGTACAATATTTGTGTTATTATTCCCACAAAAGTAACAAGATCAACCAGAGGCCACTAAATGCCATTATGAAACACAAGATGACCTCTCCAAAAGAAAATATCAACGCAGGCCCCCAGCTAAAGAGGAGCACACGCAACAAATGTAGGACCTTAAATCACTGTAATATCAACATATTCTCTCTCCCAACTCCCCACATATGGATGCTTGTTCAAGACCCCTTGGCGTCGCTTTTTAAAGCCCTGGGTACCCTTTAGTTTCTCTTTTGAACGTGTAGGGCTGCGCGGTCAAGTCAGTAAAAATAAATATGCAACGTCCAGTTAGACTTTAAAAATAAAACCAGTTGTTAACGTTGTGAAGAAAGCAAATGTACTTGGTTAGGTTTAGGAAAACATCATGGGTTGGTTACTATCATGTAACTTAACTTTTGTAACTTAAGTAACATAACGTCTGTAACTTACGCAACTTACGGAATCTACGTAACTCAACCATAAACATTCAATGTTGTTGTGGCACCTGTCCCCTGAATGAAAGTCCAGTTTCTGGCCCGCCCATCCACTCCGACCACCTCCTTACTTAGACTTTTCTGTTCTTTCTATCCTACACCTGCTGTTAGTGTTCATAAATGATGCTACAGGGCCTCCCCCAGTGCATCCAACTATGACTTTAAGTAGAGCAAACAATGGATCCGTTGCCCTTGTTCCATTGTTTTTCTTATTTCTGGACACTTAGATGTGCATTACTCTTACTCATTACTCTTATCCCTATTTTCCTATACTGGTAGGAACAATAGCTCTGCTGTACAGTACACACACTCTGACTTCTGACTTCTGTATTAGTTCAGAGCATTTTTCTGCCAGCGTTTCCTCACAGGCTTTAAAATCAGACTTTCATGAAGTGATAATAATGTAGCTCTGCAGTCAGTTCAACAAACCTCTCTAATGGTCCAGAAGTATTTGCCAGCCAGGTCTTTAGGTGAAGCACAGGTTTCTAGGTCATCCTCTCTGGTCAGTCTGCGAAGCCAGACCAGCTCACAGTTACAGTGTAGTGGGTTCCCACCAAAACTCAACACCAGCGCCGTGAGAGGAGAACCCTTCATCTTTGCGTACACTGGGATGCGCAGGAACAACGGGTCCGGAGGAATCTTCTTCAGCTTGTTGGATGTCATGTCCAGTCTGGTGATGGAGACAGAGACACACAGGGCGATGGATCAGTCTCTAATCAGACTCATGAGGCATTTAGCGGACAGGGAAGGGCTGAGATCAGTTTGTTGAATCATATGGAATGGAATTAATTGTTGAATTGTTTAAACAATTAAAACGCTTTTTGCTTGCCAGTATGTGCAGTTTGGAAAAACAGGGGGATCACATCTGCTTACTGAATCTGAATTATTTTGAATCTGGTTTTCAATGTGCAAGAGAAACTTTAACTTAACTTTCAATCATTTTTATGCAACAACCAAAAATGTAATGAGAAATCCAGTTTTGCCATGTACTGTAGATTACATGCTCTGTAATGCCATGTAGGAAATTTGCGATGCAGATTCTGATAGACTCAGCTTCGACTGTTTTGGGCAAAACAATGAATCAAAACATGGATTTATAACCACAATTATATTCTCGGCATTGTGCTGAAAGCTTTGAAACAGCTTGATTGATTAGTAGGAATCTGAGGTGGGCAGCTATATCTAAAAGTGAGTTATAGGGAGGGAAGGGTGAGGCTGGAGAAAGGGTAGCATTTAGATGGAAAGTGAAAGGGAGAGCTGTAAATGGTTATCCTCACCCAGGCCGCTCTCCCCTTTCCCCCATTGTTCCTTATTAGATTGGAACTGAAAGAATCCTAAATGTCTACCACAGGTGTATAAATCTAAAATCTGTATCCATGACTTTTACTTTTTCAGAAGAAAAGGTCTGAAAAATCTCTCTTTCTGGCTGAGGCTGAGGACCTGATGGTGAAATTCAGTCACATAAATAAATAAGATCATTTCAATTTTATCTATACTAACAGCACAAAAGGAGTTGAGGCTTTTTCTTCACCAGCTCCATTCACACGCATGAAGTTTTAATATACTGTAAGTGACTAAAAAGCATCTGAACATCCTACTTGGGTTTATAGATTAACTAAAGTGAGATTATAAAATGATTATTATTGAGGGCAGGGGAGCGGTTTGGCATCGGTATCCTCAGCTCGTAGACGTAGCATGTGGTCCCAGGAGGTAAAGGTGAAAAATAACCTTCCGCCACAGAGATATTGATAACGGCACAGAATTTCTGAGCTCACTTTGTGGTTTGTTGATGTATTTTTTTTATTTCTTGAGGCAGGTCTAGCTACTCTTCACAACTGTATCGGAATATTACTGCCTAATGATCTTTTGTATTAAATAAAACATTTGTTTAATTTGCTTTACAGGCAGTTATGTAAGATAATTCTAACCAACTCTGCAGCTACGTATTCTTTTACCCTCTTTTAGCACCTAGTTTTGGTTTTACAGCATATTTGTGATTCAGCAGGAAGCTGTTTTCAGTAAACAAGCTCTGATAAACCCAGTGTACACTACCTCCCCAGCACCAAACAGCAGACAGACACAGTTGGATACCAGCTGCTGGAGAAAGTGGAACATCTAGTAGCTAAAGAACCAGCAATTTTCTCAGGAGTTGGTGGAGACCAAACCGGACTTAAAAGGAGAATGAACATTGGACTCATCAGGTGACACAAACGTGTCTCTAACAGTAGGTAGGTTCATTTATTGTCACAATATAACAGGTTATATAATGAAGTGGAGTTTTGTAACTCAAGCACTTTGTGCTACGTAGCAGACAATCTACATTAACACAGAAGCAATTATAAAAATGTTACAAAACAGAAATAAAACATTTTCAATAGAGCAGTGCTCTGAAGGCTGGTGGTGCGGCAGCTGAAACTTCTATATCTCTTCCCAGAATGCAGCAGGGTAAACGGGCTGTGGCTGGGTGGGTGCCCTTCTAGTGGTCAGGATAACTATAATTAGGCTTGTCACAAGTCAATCTTGTAATAAAGACTCTTCAAAAGGAAAAAAAGAACCACATATATCAGGAAAAACTACGCCACATGCAAAGTTTTTGCTAATAGAAAAATAATGCAAATGCAAAATCTGCAGCTGAATCAAAGGCACTCTGACAGATGTGTAGAAAATATATAATTAAAGTTGAACTAGCTAGGGCAGGTTGACGGAAATTGGACTCAGACAAAGGGTAAATCGCACTTCATCACAAAATAACATCAGACTAATGAGAGCCAACAGTGGACAAACATTCCAGGGTGTATTTTTTGTAATTCAGCCACTGCACCGTCTCTGGGAATTGACCAGTAATTTGCTCACCAAAACATTGGACCTGATGACTGGTAATGAATGTAGGAGATTTAAGCATTCGCTGCTGTCAGCAACAAACGCAGGAAAGTCCATTTCCCCCCAAAGTCCCTCCAGAAATACTCGACAACAACGATGACTTAACAAGAAGTTAATAGCTGTTGAGAGCAGTGAGCGTGCTGCACTTTACCAATTTCAATTATGTTATTTCATGGGCTGCAGCCTAGTGGTGTATTAATGTGTGTGTGTGTGTGTGTGCGTGAGTGAACGCTCACCTGAGCACACGGACAAGTTACACCAGCTGGCCCGTACCTTTTCGTGTCTCCAGGGCAAAACATCCAACCCATTACAGCCTTTTCAATAAACGCATGACTGTTTATCTGAACCTGGTTTGTTTTCCTTCTCACACATCTGACTGCCTGACTGGCTGTTGGTCATTTGGACGTACATTGAAATGAATAATTACTGTTAATGGGCTCCAAATGTTATAAGTTGTGAGCTGGATTTCCTCAGTGATGATGTGGCAAAGTTTGGATGTTACAGCAAAGGCAGGGTCACACTGTGTTAGATATGATTTAGGCAAAGAGTGCAAGAGGATCTTAGGCAATGGGAGTTGAAAGCTCTATGAACAGGCCTGAGAATAAACTTAGTCATTACACATTTTGGGATAAAGCTACAACAGGACTTCTGTATTCTCCTGTACTTGATTTGATGATGAGTCTGGTTCTGCTGTCCTGTTCTGATGCAAGTTTGATTGGATTCATGTTTACTTAAACAAATGTATAGTGAATTACATGTCTAAAAATGACATGGCCTGATTTGGTCATCAACAATCTGATTTTCTGCATGATTTAGAGCCATGGCTCATTACAGTCTGTGTGTTTGAGAAGTTTGTGTCAGCAATAATAACTTCAGATTTGCCTGAATTTGTGTTTTAATATGGGCAAACACACCATTTGCAAGCAGCTCTTTGAACAGAGCAGCAGAGCAAAGATATGCTGGGCAGAGGAGCGGTCTGAGGTCACTGTTCAAACCCCTTTTCTGTCTGGAAGTCAATGAGGGTTGTAACATTTACCGTCACCTACTATTGGCATGGCCGCGAGCAAGATGCAGAAACCCCGGCGGCTCCAGGGGGGCTGCAGTACAGACCTGGGCGTACTGAGCATCTCCCAGCTGTGAGCGTGTGGAGCAAACTGCTGCTGAATGGAGGTCCGACATGCGGGGATTTGCTCTGTGATTTCAGCTGCATCATGCCCAGAGCTTTAGTTTGATGTCTAACTGGTTTGAAAATCACTTTAAAGCAGAACAAGCAGCTCATCAGGAGGACGGATACAGTTGGACAAAACACAATTCGAAATGCTTTATTTTAATTCTGACGTTTCAGTCAAAACAAAAAAATCCCTTTAAAGAGATGTATTCCCAGAGGACAGAAGCACTGGAGCTCTTTGATGAGTCTTTTGTTCTGCTTCCATTCAAGTATTTTTGTCTCTGGAAGATAAAGAGTTAATTTTATTCCAGAAATAATTCCACCCATTTATTTCACAACAGTGTACCTGAGCATTTGTTTCTTCTGTCTTTTTCAAGCACATTTCATTAGTATAAAGACGTACCAGAGGTGTGAAGGTCATTACTTAAATCTGGGCGATTTAAATGACCTACGGACGTGTGACCAAGCTTGTTTTTAGATGAATGTTTCCTGCACTCAACATAATGCTGAGATCGTCTTTCTTGGTACAACAAGATCATGGTTACAGGTTTCAGGTTTTTACTGGATACAAAATGTGCTAAAGCTGTATTTACTATTTAAAGCCCGTGCATTGGAATGAAACTTAAAGTTATGGAGAGGCGAAAGGAAGCATGAAGGTGCTAAATACAAAGACTTGTTGTATTTCCAGTGAAAAGCCGAAGTTAGGGCTCAGTGACAGTGTTATCATGAGATCCTGACCTGGCCAGTTTGTGCAGGTTGGAGAAGATTCCCTCTGGGACGCTCTCTATGAGGTTATGGTCGAGGCTGAGGGTGTTGACGCTGACGAGCAGGGCGATGGTCTCCCAGGGTATGTCTACCAGGTTGTTGTAGCTCAAATCCAAGTCCTCCAGAGTCTCCAGGAAGTCCTACGGGAGGAAACAGAGGCAGAGACTCTGAGCTTAATCAGAGATTCATATTTTTACTGTTTTTGCAACATTGTCATCAACTTTAATTGCAGAGAGCATAATTGCCAATTTTGTAGCCAGCCCCCCCCCAAAAAACGACTGGCTTCAAATAATTTCTTTTATCTAAAAGAGAGGAGAGAAGTGAGGAAAAATGTAGAAAGAAACACAGGAAAATAGAGAGGAGAGGTGGAGTAAGAAAAGTTGGCAGAAAGGGACAAAGTAAGACAAAGTTCCTGCACCGAGTTTAGAAAGAAACACCAGATGAAAAAAGAAATTCAAGGTTGGATGGATAGAGATGAAGGTAGTAAAGGAAAAAAAGAGAGAGGAATAAAGACAGAGAAATATAGTGGACTGTGGGGTGGACCAGAAGAGAGAGAGAGAGAGAGAAAGAAAGAATTGGAGATCAATTACCCTGGTCAATGCTGTACACATAACATGCTGTTTTCTCTAATTGCCTCCATACAATTCTCATAATCAGCACACTGCTGAAATGCCACGAGTCAGTACACATTACAATGAGGAGAACTAGAAAGAGGGAGAAAGACCGAAAAGGGGGGGGGGGTAAGAGGAAGGGGGGATGAATAGAGATAACAGCCTGTTGATCAGCAAAGTGTTGTTGTCGTTTCTGTAATTGCTCTCACAATTCACACAATCAGGACGGCGTTTGAATGTCACAATGCCTCAATTCTCATTACAATCATCATTTCTTAATGGCAGAAGAAACTGAGCTGCGAGGAGGAGATCAAGAGCTCTGTGAGCAGAAAACGAGTGTGCTGCTTTCGGTCCAAACTGCTGAAAATGAATCACGTTAAGCTCAGCTTCAGAGAGGACAGCTGGTTTGCCACACCCTATGGCTAAAGGCTAAGGTCTGGTCATGTTTAGGCAACTCAGACTACTTGAAGCACATGGAGCAGTTGCATTCAGAGTCAACGGGAACCTAGCCACTGTGAATTTAGGTGAAGACGAGCCTCTTGAGTAAAGAAAGTTCCCGACAGGTAAGGTAAGTTAATACTGGACAATTCTGCAAAATCCTGAATTACTTTTAATGACAAAGTTTTTTTTCAAACACTCAACACCAACATTTTGACTCGTCTTCCATTTTATGATATCTGACATCTAACAGCTTGATTAGTAAACTGGCTATTTGTGGCAAAGAATCACGGAAAGCCATCTTCTTATTTTTGTTTGCGTTATCACCTATTTGTCATAATGTGGGCAATTAGTCCCGTCAAAAAACGTGTCAGAATGAGAACTCCTGTCTGCAAACTATTTTTACAGTTTATTTGGACTTAACTGAATTGACCTCACTGAGAGGGTTTTGTTTAATCTATAATCATAATCTAGTCACATACATAGTACTTATTCTTGGGCAATAAAATCTGTGCACATTTTAGCTGAACAATGAGAGGGAGGAGGGAGAGCTGGAGGGATAAAGACAAGGAGAGAGAGAGAGAGAGAGAGAGAGAGAGCCATCATGACAGTGAGAGAAAAGAGAGTGGTGTTCAGGTTGAAGTTCAGAAGGTCTGGTCCATTAGCGAGTTCAGAGTTCACGTCTCTCTGCTCTCTCTTCATGCAAGTCCTGCAGAGGTCTGAGAGCCTGTCCTGAGGCGACACTATGGTACTTCCGTGCTGGACTTATAATGAGCAGAAAAAGGACAGCGTCATTTAATGAAAAGGGAAGAACAGTTTATTTTAAGGCCGGGTTATTAAAAAGGAGTCCAGCTGAGCAGCGGAGGCAGGCAGGGCACGCTGATTGCGTTGGATTTCACAGTCGGAGCCAGAAATGCGGCGTTGTTTTTACACAGCGCTTGACCCTCAGCACCACAAATAGTCTGAAGAGCTTTAAATGACTTTGCAATAACTTTTTTAAACTGAGAGTCTGAGAGGCAAATGGCTGTCTATTACTGAATTCTTGGGTGATGAATCATGAGGTTTGTACGATCCAAATGTGCCAGTGAAGCTCAGACTACACACACATACACATACAGTATATATATATATATATGTACACACACACATATGTATACTATGTGTATGTTTATATGTAACATATAGAAATCAAGGAGAAAGTAAATAATTAAATGAGAATTAACACCACAGTTTGCTGAATTACGATGAGGTAGCGCATTGTTGGAAACATGATGTCAACAAGGATGTTTTCGATGTTAAATGTCGGCATTTTATTTTTACCTTACTTTTTTTAACCAGTAAGATGCATTACATCTTTTAACGAGAGTCCTGCAAGATAGCATTTCCAAAGAAAGCAGTTTTGCCTTCAGAACTAGTTTGTTTTGAGCGTACTGACACTTTTTAGACTGAAGTTATAGCTCAACAAAACAAAACAAAAAGTCTGAGCCTGGCAAGCTGACAATGAGAAGAGGTTAATCCCTTATGATTTACAACGTGACCTTTCCTCTGCCGCCACCATCAGTCCATCAATTGACCATCAAGTCAATTTTATTTATGTAGCCCAATATCAAAAATCACAGTTTGCCTTAAGGGGCTTTTACAGAACAAACACATTTATCTACAGTTTCTAGCGTCTGACTTCAGTCTTGATATAATTTGGGATTTGGGATTTTCATTAGTTGTCAGTTTTAATTATCACAATTAAATGAAATAAACATTTTAAATATATCAGTCTGTGTGTAATGAATGAATATAATATCCAAATTTCACTTTTTGAATGGAATTACTGAAATAAATCAACTTTTTGATGATATTGTAATTATATCACCAGCACCTGTATAATAAACTGTCCAAAGGAGGAGACAGAGGCTACTGACATCGAGACGAGAAAGCTCCTCACAATGCATGGAGGGATTCACCCCAAATCCTGCACCCTGAGACTGTACACCGAGCGTAGCGAGGGAGGCCGAGGGCGGCACAAGAACAGGCGCTCAGTACAAGATCAGTAGAGGCTGGGGTCTACCACACCAGGCAGGACCCCAGGTGCAGACTGTGCAAGGAGGCCCCTGAGACAGTACAGCACATAACAGCAGGGTGTAAGATGCAGGCAGGAAGTGCGTACATGGAACGCCATAACCAGGTAGCTGTCATAGTGTACAGGAACATCCGCCATGAGGATGGGCTGGAAGGTCAAAATGGAAGACACCTCCTAAGGTAGTTGAGAATGACCGAGCTAAGATCCTGCGGGACTTCAAGATCCAGACTGACAAACCGGTGATGGCCGACCAACCAGACATCGTGTTGATCGACAAGCAGCAGAAGAAGGCCGCGGTGATAGATGTGGCGATCCCAAGAGACGGCAACATCAAGAAGAAGGAACACGAGAAGCTTAAAGGGCTGAAAGAGGAGCTAGAAAAGATGTGGAAAGTAAGAGCAACAGTGGTGCCAGTGGTGATCGGAGCACCGGGGGCCGTGACCCCCAAACTGGGAGAGTGGCTCCAGCAGATTCCAGGTAAAACATCAGAGGTCTCTGTCCAGAAGAGTGCCGTCCTAGGAACAGCTAAGATACTGAGCAGAACCCTCAGACTCCCAGGACTCTGGTAGAGGACCCGAGCTTGAGGATGACACATATACAGTATATATTGGCCAACCAAAACTCCATTTGCAGCACCTCAAAGATTGGTTTTAAATTGAACTAATAATTTACAACTGACGAAGGCCTGAGGGTAATTGGGTAATTTTGTCTATCTAGATTTATTTAGCTAACTAGTTTCTACATATTAAATTTTAATATTAAATCTAATGAACAGAGTAAAACTATGATAAATTTGCTACAGCTTCGGTTACTTGCTACAGTTTTCACCCTTCTAAAATGCAGAGACAGAATCACATATTCTAGGTTTACGCAGCTATGGTGGCTGCATTCACGTGTCAAACAAGTCAGCGGATAAAAAACTGTTTCACATAAATTGAGGATCTCAGGTTAAGATGATCAAAGCCACGTTACAATTGAATTATCTTTAAATATGGTTTCAAATTTAGGAAAAACTATTTTATTTAATTTTTCCATATTTTATACATATACATAAACATTTTTACTACTTCTACAGAAACATGTTAACTCGCTTGATACTTTCCAGATTCATATCTTTCATACAATACATTGTGTATACCTACCCAGCAGTATATGAATCAGTAATAGTCATGCAGTAATATATAGTACACGATAATGTAAATAAAATATGAGCAAACCTGCCCAGTGAGTATTCTACTTTTGATACTTAAGTATATTTTGCTGAAAACTCATCTGACCTTTCACTAAAATTCAAATTCTGAATGCAAGACTTCTAACTAAATCATTCCTGATGCGGTCGTAGTGTTAGTAAGGGGACATAGAGGTAGTAGCGCTACTGTAGCTGTAATAGCAGGAGTAGTAGAAGCCTCGACAGCTGTGTAGTATTAGTACTAGTATCTTTATTTGCATGAAGAAAGCTCAGCAGTTGGTCTCCAAATGTTTGTTTCGGTTTATTGGATATTTCTTGACACTAGATGTGACAGTAAGAGTGATAAGGTTCATGAAACCAGGGTTAGTATTCGTACCTGAAAGGCTCCCTCTGATATGCTGTGCAGCTGGTTGTTGGCCAGGATGAGGTGCCTCAGGTTCACTAGGCCCTGGAAGTGGGAATCATCCAGGGTAGTGAGGCGGTTGGCATCCAGGTGGAGAGCGTGGAGATCCTGGAGGTCAGCGAAGGCGTACGGCCGGATCTGACTGATGGTGTTTCTGCTCAGGGTCAGGTGGATCTGGACGTGGAGAAATTAATGAGAGGAAAACATTACATTTCAGTTTGAATACTGGATCAACCTGGATCGTTCTGGTTCTCTGACTCTGAGACAACAACACATACTCACTCACAACTCGTCACATATGGACACCAACACACAACTGCCCTCTCTCACCGACATTATATTTATATGTATCCCGATTTCTCTCCCGGGCCACAAACATCCTCCAGGACTTATCCCACTCAGGCAGCCACCTGTTAACTCTGCTGCCCTCTGGGAGACGCTACAGGTCCATTAAGACCCGGACCTCCAGATTCCTCAACAGTTTCTTTCCAAAAGCCATAAAAGAACTGATCTGTCAAAAACAAATGAAACAGTACTGCTCGGCTTCATGGCTGAGTGCTACGATGGCCACTGGAACTTGTGCAACATTTTTAGAGTTCTTTATTAAGATATTACATTAACTGCAATATTTGTTTTGATTCGTGGACTGTGCAATATCCTTTAACTCTTGCTGATTCCAGTTTTAACCGTTTGTGAATTTGTTGTCGATTATTTATTATTTATTATTTATCTCATGTCTTTTATCTTATTATGACTGCAGATTGAGGGGAGATGCACTCAAATCTCGTTGAACCACGTTCAATGACCATAAAGCGGTCTGATTCTGATTCTGAATGATCAAGATCAAGCGTCCCTTCTTAACACCCTGGGTACTCCTTTAGCGCTGTTTTTGGACGTGTAGGGCTCCGCGGTCAAGTTAGCAACAATGAATATGCAATGTCTGGTTACCTTTTAAAAATAAAACTGGTGGTTATTGTTGTGAAACATCACAATTTGGTTAGGTTTAGCAACAAAACTACTTGGTTAGGTTTAGCAAAAGATCCTGGTTTAGGTCAAAATAACCACTTTACTTACTTGACTTAACTTGTAACATATGTAACTTAACAAAAAAAAAGTTGTCTTTTTGTGTGACACAGGAAACTATCACCGCTGTCTTAGGAGAAAGTCCAGTTTCCAGCCCAAACTAGGACGTTAAGGGGCTTCCCACTGCTTTGCAAACTGACGCCAAGGTGTCTTGTCAATGCTGAAAAAGTTGCCAAACTTACCCGCTGTCTATTCTTTTAAAAGCTCTATAAGATTATTCAAACTTATACCAGCAATAATTTAGTAAGGTTTCACTTTTGTCAAACACTACGCCATGTTTTAGAGGGACACTGTTTCCATCCTCCTGTTCAGGGAGGTCAAAGGTCAGGATTTAACATTTCACTTAAGAGCGGTTCAGCAGGTTGGAGCTGTGGGGATTCAGTCGGGTTACAGGAAGGCCTTTAAATACCAAGCCACCCTGTCGCCCCTCATTAATAATTATATTAGTAATTAATACTAGAGTACAGTGGATCAGCTGAGGCATGGAAGTACAGATAAAATGGGTGCGCTTCATTACCGTAATAGATATTAGTACTATCAGAAAACACACTAATGAGGTCAGGAGTTTTTAGTCTGCTAAATACTTCCGCTGTACATAGAATGCCATAAGTGTGAAGACGCATTAATCAACAAACCTGTTCTGGAGAAGCGCCGTGATCACCGGAGACATCTGTGGCGCTCTGTCACGCTCAGCCAAATGATTAAAACCTAATTTCCCACGTTGCCCTGCGTGTGAGCAAACATCATCTGTGCTGCTCTGATCGTACTTGAGAGGAAACTTATTTTTCACACACTAAGGGAGTCTCCAGCTGTGATGAGTGTCTCTATTTGGCAATTAAATATCACGACATCGGTATTTTTTCCTTTTTTGCTGCATGCGGCGAAGCCTCTAGACCTCCGTTACATGATTACAGTGGAATTAATTGGTGAAATCTGTAAGATATCATAGAGTCACCTCAGTTAATATGTTACAATGGAAGGCGCAGATGTTCGTAATGTCTTCAGGGTGGTAGAACCATGAAAACTCTCCTCACTGTATTGGCTTCAATTTCACTTTTGCATGTTTCTGATGGGGTTGAGTTGTCAATCAGATCGCTGTGTGCTTAAAAATCTTCCTCACATACTTTCAGACCGTCTGATCTGATGCTCAGTTCATTCCAGACGTTTTTCTGAACTCAAGTGATGCAATTTACCCTTTTGGTGTAGCCACTTCACTCCGCTCTTATTTAAAATACTGATGTCCACCATTTCCCAGAACGCCTTCCTCCTTAATTTAATTAAGCTACTGGTGGAGATAACAGCACATTAACTGGCAGAAAAAAACAGAAATAGATATATTTAGAACGTTTAGCTGACTTCTTTGCAACAGAATGGGTGCAGTTTTACAACAGGACAGCCACATCCTGATGATGGGTATAACTGCAGTAGGTATGGTAAAGGTTCAGGAAACACTGTGGTTATTGCAAATAAACTATGATTAAAGGTTCTGGACAGATGTTAAAAAACTTTAGCATATAAAAGTGGTACACGCCAATCCACACCCGTACTTTAAGCCTCACTACATAAAGTTCACACTGAAGCCGGTGCTGGCACTGAATGTGATGGACTGAGGCTTGAAAAAAATTACAGAACCTGCAACTGCAGGTACAGCAGGGCTCATTCCACAACAAACCTGAACTATCACTGTAATATACAGTATCTGGTGATGATGAGTTCTATAAATAAAAGCCTGAGTTCTGTTAGCAGCACAGTTAACTCCTCATTATCGCAATAAAGAACATCAGGAACATCACTTGGCTTTTACTTAACATTTATAGTATTCTGCTCTAAATGGAATTAGACTGTACAAATTAATGTAAACATGAATGTAAAGGTGTTTAGAAAACTGAGCTCTGACCAGGCTGGACATGTTGGCAAAGTCGCGGTGCCTCAGCGTTGTGATGAAGTTGTCCATTAGCCTGAGCTCAGCCGTCTGGCGGTCAATGTTGGGCGGGACAAAGAGGAGGCCCGTCTTGGCACACAGCACAGTGTAGGACGGCAGCAGATTCTGGCAGGTGCACCGCTTCGGACACAGCATGGAGGAGGAGCAGGAGGGGAGGGAGGACAGGAGGACGAAGAGGAGGAAGGGGAGGAGAGGGCAGGCCTGCCAGGAGACGACAACCATGGCTACTCTGCTGCTGCAACACAAAGAGAGAAACGACAGCAGAAGTCAGTTCACGCATATAGCTGTTGCACACACAAAACTCAAAAATGTAAATATGTAATGCTTTTCCCAAATCATCGACCCTCAATTTGATTTAAAGATTTTGTTGTTCAGCAAAGATCATCATCTATCCCCGCACGACCACTGCCGTATGGGTCTCTAAATGAAGATTATTTCTCCCTGTGACACGGCATGTGAGATAACCGTGTGTTTTATCAGCACATCTTCTATGCTTTTGCAAACAAACCCAGAATTTCCAGGAAAAAAGTATTCGCGAGAGAGGGGAGGATGGAAAAGACTGCAAGCAGGACGGGAGGAAGAGCAGGGGGTGACAGCAGGAGAGAGTGTGAAAGAGGGTGGAGGTAAATCAAAATCAGGAGTTTGTCAGTGCAGCCTCTGTTTTTTTTTCTGCTGAGTAAGTTGTCCTGGGGAAGTGAGAGTTAACAGTACTCATATCATCATTTAAGCTCACTGCACTCTCATGATTACAATCTGAGGAGGACATTAAAAGAACATAAATTATCCTCTGTGTGGTTATCTGCCTCACTTCATAAATTTCATAGATGTTTCTGTGCATAAAAATGAGACTAAACCAACGTTTCCAGCCAAGGCAATAAAGGAATACATTTACATTGATATTGATTTCTCTCCATTCGGTTTCTACGTTCAGCTCAGTGAAGCCCTGAATAAATTCATGCGAAGTGAAAAATAAAACACACACAAGTTGGAGAGACATATGCAAAAGGGAGGCATGCCAACACACACACTCATTCATGCATGCATGCGTACGCCCGCATGTACACACTCTAAAAAGTTCCTCTGAGTTAGATGCCGAGTGACTGGAGGAAGGTCGATTGCAAATAACAGCGGAAAGAGACACGCTCTTTTATTTACGGTGCTAAAATATTCAAACTGTGCCCCAACTGCAGCACAGAATACAGAACGGGAAGTCTGCACATGTCCTCATAACAGGGTAGGAGCGCAGGATACGAGCTAAATGTGGGGAAGTAATGGCAGAGATGTAATGCAATGAGATAAATTCAGTGGAAATGATCAGGAGAATTCAAAACCCAACCGAGACTACGCTCAAATGTCAATGGGTAATTGAAGAGTCTGCACAAGATGGGAGCGTGAGCACAGGAGACTTGCAAGCAATAATAAGTGACACCTGGAATTCACAAATTTGTCACTTCAATGAGAATACTTCAAACTTCACAAAAGTTCATTCAGCCACAAAGTGAATAAAAAGTTTTACTGGTGATCACTGTGAGGTAGACATCCATAACTGTCACCACAGAGCTGAAGAACACGTCACACATGTAAAAGCTATGTACAGTGGGTACGGAAAGTATTCAGACCCCTTTAAATTTTTCACTCTTTGTTTCATTGCAGCCATTTTCCAAAAATCAAAAAAGTTCATTTTATTTCTCAGTAATGTACACTCAGCACCCCATCTTGACAGAAAAAAACAGAAATGTAGAAATTTTTGCAAATTTATTAAAAAAGAAAAACTGAAATATCACATGGTCATAAGTATTCAGACCCTTTGCCGTGACACTCATATTTAACTCAGGTGCTGTCTATTTCTTCTGATCATCCTTGAGATGGTTCTACACCTTCATTTGAGTCCAGCTGTGTTTGATTATACTGATTGGACTTGATTAGGAAAGCCACACACCTGTCTATATAAGACCTTACAGCTCACAGTGCATGTCAGAGCAAATGAGAATCATGAGGTCAAAGGAACTGCCTGAAGAGCTCAGAGACAGAATTGTGGCAAGGCACAGATCTGGCCAAGGTTACAAAAAAATTTCTGCTGCACTTAAGGTTCCTAAGAGCACAGTGGCCTCCATAATCCTCAAATGGAAGACGTTTGGGACGACAAGAACCCTTCCTAGAGCTGGCCGTCCGGCCAAACTGAGCTATCGGGGGAGAAGAGCCTTGGTGAGAGAGGTAAAGAAGAACCCAAAGGTCACTGTGGCTGAGCTCCAGAGATGCAGTCGGGAGATGGGAGAAAGTTGTAGTAAGTCAACCATCACTGCAGCAATCCACCAGTCGGGGCTTTATGGCAGAGTGGCCCGACGGAAGCCTCTCCTCAGTGCAAGACACATGAAAGCCCGCATGGAGTTTGCTAAAAAACACCTGAAGGACTCCAAGATGGTGATAAATAAGATCCTCTGGTCTGATGAGACCAAGATAGAACTTTTTGGCCTTAATTCTAAGCGGTATGTGTGGAGAAAACCAGGCACTGCTCATCACCTGTCCAATACAGTCTCAACAGTGAAGCATGGTGGTGGCAGCATCATGCTGTGGGGGTGTTTTTCAGCTGCAGGGACAGGACGACTGGTTGCAATCGAGGGAAAGATGAATGCGGCCAAGTACAGGGATATCCTGGACGAAAACCTTTTCCAGAGCGCTCTGGACCTCAGACTGGGCCGAAGGTTTACCTTCCAACAAGACAATGACCCTAAGCACACCGCTAAAATAACGAAGGAGTGGCTTCACAACAACTCCGTGGCTGTTCTTGAATGGCCCAGCCAGAGCCCTGACTTAAACCCAATTGAGCATCTCTGGAGAGACCTGAAAATGGCTGTCCACCAACGTTTACCATCCAACCTGACAGAACTGGAGAGGATCTGCAAGGAGGAATGGCAGAGGATCCCCAAATCCAGATGTGAAAAACTTGTTGCATCTTTCCCAAAACGACTCATGGCTGTATTAGATCAAAAGGGTGCTTCTACTAAATACTGAGCAAAGGGTCTGAATACTTATGACCATGTGATATTTCAGTTTTTCTTTTTTAATAAATTTGCAAAAATTTCTACATTTCTGTTTTTTTCTGTCAAGATGGGGTGCTGAGTGTACATTACTGAGAAATAAAATGAACTTTTTTGATTTTTGGAAAATGGCTGAAATGAAACAAAGAGTGAAAAATTTAAAGGGGTCTGAATACTTTCCGTACCCACTGTATGTTTTTTGTGTTGCGTGCAGAACACTAGTGTGTCCAGTAGGTGGAACCTTTCAGCTTTGCATCCAACACAATGTAAGCAGAAAGCTGCACACAGGTGACAGGTGTTGGACTGGAGCAGCTACAGTTTTTTGACCGCTTTGCTAGGTACGCTACACTGGGCGCGTTGTGTGTTCGTTCAGATCTTTGATTCAGTGGATGTTTAAGGACTGTATTATGGATGTACCTGAAGACCATCATCAGTAAACAATAACACTGAACAAAAAAAAGGCAAGAGCAAACCTCGTTATTTCACTAGACCTAAAGCTGATGATACAACTTCTTTCGCTCCGTGTATCATCAGCTTAACGAAATAACGTTGTTTGCTCTTGCCTTTTCTGCGGCTGGGCGAGCACGTCAATTAGTTGCCTGTCTACGCAACCCTCAGTGTTTTTAGATGTAGATTTAGCGGCTACACATGTCTTTGAGTAACTCGTGACTCACTACAAAGTGTCACTGTAGTGAGTCTGGATCTGTGGCTGCGAGTCACCTGTTGCCCCCATGTTCCCGCTCAACACCCGCTGCTACATTTACTATAACTATTCCTATTATTATTATCATTACAAAGGGCTAATGAAATTAATATTTTTTTATTGCCTGTGTGTGAAGGGTTTGTAACTGCACACATACACAATCCACCAGGTTTTTCTGTTACCTCTGACCCCCAGTATGCCTATTCCTATGTGAAGACTCCAGGTGAGACGCTCCAGTAAATCCATTGGCTGTTACGCGCTCCTGAACCTCTTGCCTGATGAATCTGAACCGTACACACAGCAACAAAACACACTCTAACTTCATGGAGTTAGTTTCTGCACAGCACATGAAACATTCTGTGATCTTGTGTTTTAGTAAGTTAGATAATGTTGTCGACTAGTTGCTAACGTTATTCTGTGCAACATACTATAGTTGCCATATTACTTCATCAGCTAATGCAAGGTTGTTTATTTCTCATTATCCAGCACAAGGCTGCTTAACAGAACAAAATTTGTAGTCCCTTCATGCTACATGCAACAACATATAATTAAGTGTATATTAAAATATGGTAACATAAATAAAACAAAATATACTATATAATATAACTATAACAATATAGTTATTTATATAAATATATACAGACACGTGTACACCAAGAACGTTCCGCAGTATTCATTTTGCATTCTGGGTGAAAGTAAACAGCAGCAACCAGATGATAATATGCTTTCAGCCTCACAATAAACAGATCCCATTTTGTCCAGACCGGACCTTTAGGAGCAGAATTAAGTCCAAGCTTGGCCAACATGGCTCTTATCTCGGGCTCTCTTTGCTCTCCTCTGACCGATCACCGCACCCGCTCTGGCGCCTGGTCCGGTTGTTTGGGCCGGGTGGGTCTGGATTTAGATCAGAGGTAACACGTGTTTCGGCAATAAAGCCGGAAAGATGAAAAACAGAAGTGTAGTGACGTTTGAAGGAGCAGCAGTATCATGTGATCCATATTACTGCCCTCTGTTCGGTATTTAGGGTTGATCTTAGCCTGCAAGAAATTGATGTGGAGAAAATGTGGAGCGATTTGTTTACACTTAGTTAGTCTATAGCAGGGCTTTTCAAAGTGTGAGGCGGGCCTCCTCAGGGGGCGTGTTGGATGCCGCCCCCCCCCCTCACTAAAAGAGTACGGTCTTGATCTGCTCTATATGAAAAGTTCAAGGCGATTACATTAAATTTAAAACAAAAAAAGCGACAAATTACATTTTGATGTCTAACTGTTCCCCCGTCCGTGGTGAATCCAGAAAGCTCTATAACTGACCCGAGGATCCTGATTGATCATTGCAGACATAGTTAATCCATTCACAGGATGTGAGACCAATCATCTCCACTACAGAGTCATTGGTTTACAGTCATATCACCAAATTATCAGTCAATGCAGCAATCATAGTGAATACCGATTTTTTAAAGTGTTTACTTTTAGAAGATTCTCTTTAGACCATATTGCG